ACCCAGGGAAAAGACTTATATTAACATGTGATGCTTCACCAGATGGTGTAGGAGCAGTCTTGTCCCACATGGATGAAAAGGGTGACAGACCCATTGCTTTTGCCAGTAGATCTTTGAACCAGGCTGAGAAAAATTATTCTCAGTTAGATAGGGAAGGACTAGGCATCATTTTTGGTGTTAAGAAATTTCATAAGTTTCTGTTTGGTAGGAAGTTCACCATCTTTACAGATCATAAACCATTGCTAGGTTTATTTGGAGAAAACAAAACCCTACCTGAGCATGCCTCACCAAGAATTCAAAGATGGGCTATCACACTAGCCGCATACAATTATGAATTGAAATACAAACCTGGATCTGAGAATAGTGCAGATAGTCTTAGTAGATTACCTTTAAAAAACCAAAGCCTTAGTTATGTACCAGAGGATGTATTTGTTCTCTTCACTATCAGGGATAACTCCAATATAAATGTGAATGATATTAAAAGAGAATCACAAAAAGATGAGTGCTTAATAAAAGTATATGAGTACTGTAAAAATGGTTGGCCTGAAGAGTCAGTGAATGAGGACTTAAAGCCATATAAAATAAGAAAAACAGAGTTAAGTCTAGAAGATGGATGTATACTATGGGGGTCAAGAGTAATTATCCCCAAAATGTTACAAAAAGAAGTTTTAAGAACTTTACATGATACTCATCTTGGTTCTTCCAAAATGAAGAGTCTAGCAAGATCATGGTTCTGGTGGCCACATATGGATGCTGATATTGAAAAATATGTAAAGCTTTGTTCAAGCTGTGCACAACATTCAAATCAACCAGCTACAGCACCATTGCAAAACTGGGACTGGCCAATCGAGCCATGGAAACGTATACATATAGATTTCGCAGGACCTTTCATGAACAAAATGTTCTTAATTGTTATTGATTCACATTCTAAATGGTTAGAAGTTAAAATCATGAACACAATCACTGCAAATGATACCATTATAGAACTTAAGGAAATATTTTCAACTCATGGATTACCAGATCAAATTGTTCAATGTACAGGACCTGTGTCTTATAAAGTAAAAACAAATGATGGACTTATTGTCCGTAGACACGCAGACCAGTTAGAAATAACTTGTGCAGATAATAAGTGTGAATCTGTCAATCCCACCAAATCTGATCAGTTCACACCAACTCAGTTTGTTCCACAACCAAGTTCTGTTGATATGAGTGAACCAAGTTGTCTAGAGTCAGAAAATGTAAATTCTGGAGTTAATGATTTAAATCCTAGACCTCCTGAGATAGAGAATCCATATGGTCAGAATCTTGAGTCACCAAATCAAAAGCCACTGAGAAGGTCAAGCAGGACAATCAAAGTCCCAAATAAGTTAGACCTATGGTTTTAAAGGTCAAAAGGACTTTGACATCATTGTTTTGTATTTTAATTATGTTGTAACATATTGTGCATTGTTTGTAAGGATGTAATCTACCATAGTGTTCATGTTACAATATAATTGGTGATGTGTTGTGTTTACTAAGGGTAAAGGGATGTAATATAGTGAGACTTGTGAAGTCAAGGGAACTCACTCTTCTTGTATTAGTATTATATTTATACTGTTATCTTGAGTGATATCTCTTACATGTATATAAATAATTGTCTCTCGTCACTTCCGCTCTCTCTCTTCCATCATGGCCGAATAAAGACTTGTTAACAACCAACGCGGCTTCTCGTCAGTATTTCCAATCCATTACACCTACTGCTACTACTTTTTTGATAAATTTTAGTCACATGAGTAAAAATTCATTAAAAAAAAGTTTTTATTGGATTTAAAAAATTATAGTTCAGATTGTGTATTTTAAGTAAAGCTTTGAGGGTTAATAATTTGTTTTTCAATATCTTAAGTAGAACTTAAATCATCTTGACATTACCATTACTTACAGTAACATTTTGGGTGATTTTAGACCATTTTCACCATAAAACATACATTTTTTCCCAGAATTATGATGTAAGGTGGGTTTATTAATGCTTTTTATCAATACAGTACCTATCCAAACATATGTATTCACTAAGTGTCAAACAAAACCAGAATAGTATGTCCAAGAGCACAATAACTAGAGTAACTAATGCAAATGATCACAAAGATAATTATATATATATATATATATATATATATATATATATATATATATATATATATATATATATATATATATATATATATATATATATATATATATATAGGTATAGATATAGATATAGATTTATAGGTATAGATATAGATATATACCTGGGGGCTTTTAGGTTCAATTAATTAAGTAATCACGATTTGTCAAATCTTTCATTTTTTTCTCAATTTTCTCAAAATATGAATTATTAGAAGATTTTTAGCACAAATGTCAAGATTTTTCAAAACCTATTTATGCTTTAGCTATTAAACTTTCAGATTTTCTTCATCTCCCAAGTGTGCACCAAACATGCTATTTTTATGCAGTTTGCTATTAGAGTTTAAAAGTTATGACTTGTGAACTTATCCCTACTGCTACTACTTTTTTGATAAATTTTAGTCACATGAGTAAAAATTCATTTAAAAAAAAGTTTTTATTGGATTTAAAAAATTATATTTCAGATTGTGTATTTTAAGTAAAGCTTTAAGGGTTAATAATATATATATATATAGATAGATAAAGATATATATATATACCTGGGGGCTTTTAGGTTCAATTTAGTAATCAGGATTTGTCAAATCTTTCTTTTTTTTTCTCAATTTTCTCAAAATATGAATTATTAGAAGATTTTTGGCACAAATGTCAAGATTTTTCAAAACCTATTTATGCTTTAGCTATTAAACTTTCAGATAATGTTCATCCCCCAAGTGTGCACCAAACATGCTATTTTTATGCAGTTTGTTATTAGAGTTTAAAAGTTATGACTTGTGAACTTATCCCTTCTGCTACTACTTTTTTGAAAAATTATAGTCACATGGGTAAAAATTCATTAAAAAAAAGTTTTTATTGGATTTAATTAATTATAGTTCAGATTGTGTATTTTTAGTAAAGCTTTAAGGGTTAATAATTTGTTTTTCAATATCTTAAGTAGAACTTAAATCATCTTGACATTACCATTACTTACAGTAACTTTTTGGGTGATTTTAGCCCATTTTCACCATAAAACATACATTTTTTCCCAGAATTATGCTGTAAGGTGGGTTTATTAATGCTTTTTATCAATACAGTACCTATCCAAACATATGTCTTCATTAAGTGTCCAACAAAACCAGAATAGTATGTCCAAGAGCACAAAAACTAGAGTAACTAATGCAGATGATCACAAAGATGATTTTATATATATGTGTATATATATATATATATATAGATAGATAAAGAAATATATATATATATATATATATATATATATATATATATATATATATATATATATATATATATATATATATATATATATATATATACCTGGGGGCGTTTAGGTTCAATTTAGTAATCAGGATTTGTTAAATCTTTCTTTTTTTTTTCTCAATTTTCTCAAGTTATGAATTTTTAGAATATTTTTAGCACAAATGTCAAGATTTTTCAAAACCTATTTATGCTTTAGCTATTAAACTTTCAGATATTGTTCATCCCCCAAGTGTGCACCAAACATGCTATTTTTATGCAGTTTGCTATTAGAGTTTAAAAGTTATGACTTGTGAACTTATCCCTACTGCTACTACTTTTTTGATAAATTTTGGTCACATGAGTAAAAATTCATTAAAAAAAAGGTTTTATTGGATTTAAATAATTATAGTTCAGATTGTGTATTTTAAGTAAAGCTTTAAGGGTTAATAATTTGTTTTTCAATATCTTAAGTAGGACTTAAATCATCTTGACATTACCATTACTTACAGTAACTCTTTGGGTGATTTTAGCCCATTTTCACCATAAAACATACAATTTTTACAGAATTATGCTTCAAGGTGTGTTTATTAATGTTTTTTATCAATACAGTACCTATCCAAACATATGTCTTCATTAAGTGTCCAACAAAACCAGAATAGTATGTCCAAGAGCACAAAAACTAGAGTAACTAATGCAGATGATCACACAGATTTTTAATATATATATATATATATATATATATATATATATATATATATATATATATATATATATATATATATATATATATATATATATATATATATATATATATATATATATAATATATATATATATATATATATATATATATATATATATATATATATATATATATATATATATATACCTGGGGTTTTTTAGGTTCAATTTAGTTTATTAATGTTTTTTTATTAATACAGTACTAATCCACACATATATAAAGACATTTGAATTCATTTATGTGTATTTTTTTCAATTTGGGGGTTTAACCTGCCCTAACTAACCACCCACTAATATTTGTTCTGTAAAAGGACATAACCAAGCTTAGATATTTTTGCTATACATATTAATTGAGTAGTTTCCCTTTGATCAAGAACAAACACATTTTTGGTTTTTAAAAAAAAGGAAAAACAAAAATATTACTTAATGTTAGATAGATTAATCAATGTTCATAACTCACATAAAAAAGTTTTTGAAATGTTAAAACAAAAACTGCTTATATAAGATTTAAAAAAAACTTTTAGGGGTTATCCATAAATAGAATCTAAGAAAATACAAGTCTTGCTTAGACTTTTACTTTAGACCTAGATCTAGGCATAATATTTGGCATTGGATAATCCCCCAGTACAGCCTCGGTAATTATTCCGAATAGTGCCGGAATCCACCGGAAAGTACTGTAAACCCTACTTTATTTGGCGGCATCTTTTATTTTTCAATCGTTCAAAAATATGGATAGGTTGGTTCTAATTAATTGCATCAGCTAGAAATATATTTTTTTTAATATCTTTTATATAGATGTAGATCTAATGGCATGGCCTAATTCAATTTTCCTGCTTTCTAAATTGATATCCGGGTGATTGCAAAACAATAACCTAGAATCTAGATCTTCGAGAGTTAAACTTGTTTGGTTTCAGTAATGGCTAGACCTACGTCTATATTTAAGACTATAATCTGAATCTGGTAAAAAAAAACATATGAGCTATAACATTTTATTTAGGTTTAGATCTAAGTAGTAAGTAAATCTAGATCTAGATGAAGGAAGAATTTTTAAAAAAAATGAGGTCATTAGGTGCATTGGATAGAGCTAAGGGAAGCAACTCAATTTGAAATTTAAAAAATAATATGGCTTCCGTTTTTCATTAGCTATTTGCTTCTGTGATCCTGTGCTTGTTGGTAGGTCTAATAGATCTATTCAGTCAATTAATTAATACATTCAGCCTCTTTATTACTTGATTGATTGTTCTATTTCATTATGAATTATAGAAATACTAATCTAGATCTAGTAGGCCTATTTTAAATAGATCTACATCCCTAGATCTCGAATCTAGTCGAGACCAGGTTCAAGATGCAGAAAAAACAAGATGGCTGATGCCTGTGATGTCGATGTTGGTTGGTTAGGTAGGAGTTAGGAGAGAACTTGATTAAACTTTCCATTGATACCAATTTTATATCTCTAGCTTTATCTAGATCTAGGGAAGACAAATTATTGTTCTTTCTATTTAAAAAATAAGTCTAATCTCTTTAAAAAAAATGAAGCAAGGGGGAAATAAAAGTGAAAATTGTTGCCCCCCCCTATACTAAAAATAGCACAAGCCCCCCCCCATAGCATAGGCCTATGCAAAATTTTTCCAAAATTCTAGTAAGGCTAGATCTAGTATTCTAGATCTTTTAAGTAAATTTGCATTAATAATTCAGCAGGCTTGTTTCAGTTTATAAAGAATCTTGGTGTGCTTTTTTTTAATAGGCCTATAGATTTTTACTATGACTAGAATAGAAGATCTTAAAAAAAAAAAAAAAACTAGTTGCCTGATAAAGAAGTTAATCTTGAAACAAATTTCATATGCAAGGTAAAGTAAGGCACTACTAGCCACACTTTTTAGCACATGTACATTTTTAAAGATTTTAACTAATCGAAGTATTTTCTAATATTGAAATTTTAATGCAACATTTGATATTAAAGCTCAGTATCAAACAACCATTCAGCAAGATTCTGAAATTCTTTACAGAGGCTTAGTGGTGGGGGAAGGGGGTACATATGTCCCCGGGGCCGACCCTAGGGGCGTCAAAATAAGCTCATTTTAGCTGCTATTTTGAATTATAAATATAAAATATATGGCGGGGCACCAAATTGAAAATTTGTCCCTAGGCACCGGGAGGGGTCGCTACGCCTCTGATTATTTTTTTTTCACAATTTATGAACATAACAATGTATATAAAATTAACACAGTCCATGATTGTGGCTGTTTTTCAGTTTGGCGGCATAGCTTCAAAAAAAATTATTTGTACAACAAAAGTTTGCCCTGACAAAATATTTATATACAGATAAATATTTTATACTACTTACTAAACATAATGACAAAACTAGAGTAACTAATCTATTTATTGTTATTATAATAATAATTATAACGGAATAATAAAATAATATAAAATAACCGTTTTTTTTTTGTTGACAATGTATATTACGAAATGCAAATACTTTCAACTTTCCCCAAAATCTATTTTTTAAAATCATAATCCTGCACTAAAAAGACATATGCACCATTTTATTCAGTACACAGCTAACTATATTTAATAAGACGGGACATCATCGGGCCGGAAAACCAGCTTTTCTGACATATATGCCTATTCTTGACGCCGGTTTTCCGGCTTGTCAGGCTCAAAGGGTTAAAAATTAAAGTCTGCATCAAAGTTTATGTAAATCATCAGCACATTGGAATTTGGATGCTTTAAACTTTTAGCTGATATCTGCTCAAATATATCCACACCAAACATATTAATTGGTTGGGGGTAAAATGTGAGACAAAATGTAAAATGAAAGGCAGTTTGTACATCTTTTTTGCATTTTACCACCTCCCTCAGTACCTGTTTTGCATCTTGCATTTTATCTAGTCCCGATTTTCTTGACATATTTTGTATGCAAGATATCTTCCCTTTGCACTAAATGCTACATACTAATTTAGAGTAAAGCATGTAGAGGCCTATTTTTTAAAAATTCAAACAAGTTCTTCACATTTTATATTCAAGTTATCTTACCTTATCTCCTTATACTACAGACTTCTTTACAGACACTTTACTTAATACGTACTACTTAGTCTTTACAATTTACATTAAGGAGTACATTTTTCTAGATTTTATTCTTAACTTAAAAAGTAAAATTCTCAATCTATGTGTATAGGCCTAATTTTATTTATTAGTTAAGGCATAAATATAATTAAGAACTAGTAGACTAGTTTTGTTTAGGTAAAAGTTCATCACTCAGACTTTTAAAAAAGGTTGAAAATTTGTGCTGCAAACAACATTACTAATGAAATATATGCAATACAAATTTAAATTAAGGCTTGTGCAGAGTTTAGTCTAAGAAAATAGTTATGATTTATATTAAGGCAAAGATTGATAATTTAGACTCAAATACTAATTAGTATTTTTTGCAACACAGTAACATGTTATGCAGGCATTTTTATTCCCCAGTTATTTTGTTGTTTTTGTTGTGGTAGAGTTAATAAGTAATGTACTTATTCTCACTAAACTGTAAGAGAATATAAGCACAATATTTATTTCTTTGAAAACCTAAAAGTGGATTTAAGCACATTGTTTATTTCCACAAAATGCTGTAGGTTGGGTGGGGGGGGGGGGGGGGGGGGGGGTTGAGGAAGGGCATTGCTAATTTTTTTCTGCTCTTGACAAAAATAAGCACTACTACATTAACAGATTAAGAGTACATTGGGCACTTGCCCTAGATTTGACATTAATAACATGTTTATTTTAACAATATAATCACAAGTTTAACATTTTTCTAATCATCAGTTCCTTCATAAGAATCACTGCAGCAGCATGGAAGAGAAAGCAGTTGATTTAAGTGCAGTTTCACCTGTTGTGGATAATAGATCGCACAAATCAAAAGACGTTTCATCTTCTGAGGACACTCAAACAGAATTATCAAAACTTAAGTCAGTTGATGATGTAAAAAACATGACTTCTGAAGATATTAAACCTGATATTTCACCAGAATTTTCAATTAATGAAGATATGAAACCTGCTGAATCATCAGTATTATCAGCGTCTGAAGATTCACAACCAGAATTTCCAAGTTTATCAGCTAGTGAAGACTTGAAACAAAATTTATTGGCAAAATTTTTATTTTTTGGTGCTAAAAAGCAAAATAAACGAGACAAAAACGTAAAATTTTCTAAAGACAAAGTACGCCAGAATGTTGTTAGTCATAACAGTTTTTTTGAAAATCCTAACTTCAATACCCATGAGAAACTTTATTCAGAAGACAAGCCACATGAATGTGATGTTTGCCATAAAATATTTACTCAAAATGCGTATTTAAAAGCACATAAAAAAGTGCATTCAGAAGACAAGCCAAATGAATGTGATGTTTGCCATAAAACGTTTTCTCAAATTTCTTACCTAACTAAACATAAAAAGATTCATTTAAGAGATAAGCAATATGAATGTGATGTTTGTCATAAAAAGTTCTCTCAAAGTTCTTGTTTATCTTCACATAAAAAAATTCATTTAAGAGACAAACCACATGAATGTGATATTTGTCACAAAAAGTTTACTCAGAAGAATAATTTATTACGACATATAAGTGTTCATACAGGTTATAAGCCATATGTATGTGCTGTTTGCCCTAAAAGGTTTTCTCAAAGTTCTTATTTAACTGCACATGAAAAAATTCATTCAGGAGACAAGCCACATGAATGTGGTACTTGTCATAAAAGATTTTCTCGAAGTCGTAGTCTAAGTGCGCATGAAAAAATTCATTCAGGAGACAAGCCATACGAATGTGATGTGTGTCACAAAAGATTTTGTCAAATAGCTAATTTAAATACTCATAAAAAAATCCATTCTAGAAATAAGCCAGATGTAGGTAAAGAAATGAGTTCTTCTAAGATTACTCCATCTAGTTATAATGAAATCCATCCTGACATAAAACCATTTTGATGTGATTTTTCAACATAAATCATTAATTATAGAGCAAAATATAACACTTGAATTTCTTTTTTTTTCTCATAACTTTAACTAGTGGTCATAGAGTAGTTGGCCATAGTTTAGTAATTTTTATATTTGTACTATTGAAAATGTTGTTTGTGTTTATGAGTATACCTCGACAATTATTATTGTATTCTTTCATGTGAGCTGGATCTGTATAATTTTGTCTTAATCTACTGCTTTATGTGCTTTTGTAAATATGTATAGGAAAAGTAAGCTATAACTTGGCTAAGCCATATTTTTAAAAAACGCTAACATTGGAGTTTTAGTTTTATTTTTATTATATTTTACACCGGCCTGGTTTTGCTAAGGCCTCACAGTTAATTTTCCTATTCTTTTCAAATTATTAAACTTGACACAGCACATTAATTGGGACAAGAAAGTTTACCAAATCTGATCAAACTAATTATACACATTAAAAATAACAGAATCAAACTGAAATTAAACACTGTTCAAGTTCAATGTATTAGTTACTAGATATTTACAATTCTAGTGCTAATTATTATTGAACATCTTGTTATAATTTTTTTTCTTCACGTAACTTGAACTAGTGGTCATCCAATAGTGGGCCATAGTTTATTAATTTTTATATTTGTATTATGAAAAGGTTCTTTTGTCAAAGAGTATACCATGTCAGTTATTATACATACTCTAAACAGAATTTATATTCTGACTGTAAAAAGAAACTTTCTTCAGCTGCATGTGTACAATTTTTTCTTTATAAAGGCTCTTCTTTTTTGTGTTATTTGTAAATATGTATGATAGAAGAAGTAAGCTATAACTTTAGAAACCCATGGTTTTATTATTATACCCGCATGGTTTTGCTCAGGCCACACAGTTAATTTGCCTATTCTTTTCGAATTATATCAAATTGACAATGCACATTCATTGGGACAAGGAAGTTAACTAAATCTGCACTAACCAGTTACACACATTAACAATAACAGAAGCTAACTAAAATAAAAATAAAACACACAAAGTTCGAATTCAGTGCATTTATTTACATTTACTAAATGTTTACAATATATAACTGCTGTAACACAATCACATTAATAACTTTATGCATTTACAACTTTACTCATTTACACTACTCACAAACAGCCCAGTCAGACATACAGCAACATGACAGAATATCAGGTTGACAGGTAAAACAACCTCCATCAGACAAGTACAATGACATCAGGCCAGCAGTCACAGTGGCATCTGGCCAACAGGTACAGTGACATCAAAACTTCTGAGCAGACAAAATATTTTTTATAAAAACTTTTTCATCTTTTTTCATCTTTTGCTGAATGTTCTTAATCATAATATGGAGAAATATAAAATCTTAAATCAAATGATCAAACTCTACTGGCTGCAATGTATAACTCAAACTGACCACATGTAAAAACTGGCAGCCCCCCAAAAAAAAATTCCTAATGTTTGTCTTTGAAATGTATTTATTGTCATCACTAATGCAGATATAAAATATTTGGAAATTGAATTTTAAATAATAATTTAGTACCTGAATAAAGTTGATTTCAACTAGGAACTAAGTTATGTTGTGTGGCCTCTGTTAAAATTTTTACAAACAATAGCATTAAGATGCATAAACAAGTTGCCAATTGTTGTTCCATTGATTAATGCTTAATTTGTATATAAGTATTATAAGTAAAATAATGCAATTAACATTCTATACAAATTCATGTGGTGAAAATTAAACTTCTACTTTTATTGTTTGACATTATTTTATTCATCCCATTTAGGAACCTCCCTCCACCTGTTTACATGTCTTATTGATCTAACCAAGATTCATGTTGCTCCAACCATTGCTAAGGCTTATGGTCACTTCTTTACTTTTGCTAGATGTATGTTTTTTATTTTATTAAATGCATTTGTAACATTTTATGTATAGATTTTATCTTTCTGCACTCCTACTTAATATGAACTTTATGCCAAATCTCAGACACCTCTCTACATGCTATGTGTTTAAAAATAATACATAATAATCTTCTTCAAATTTTCATATAGGATTTAGAGATTAACTACACATAACAATTACTTAAATAATTTTTTTTTTTAAACTGCACAAACAAATAGAATTATCAATTTGAAGAAAAGAAAGACTAAAGCTGCTATTATTACATTTTGGTATCTTAGTTTCAACATAATGTAATTTTTTGTTAGTTGTTTAATGTTGTATTGTATTCTTTACTAAGGGGTCATCCATAAATGATGTCAGGTTTTATTTTTTGCCAATTGTTACCTCCACTTCGTTACTCCTCATCACAAAAAGCCAGACACTCTAAAATGACGTCACTCCTCAGCCTACAAGCCCACTCAAAAAAAAATTTCCTTCAAACATCGACATTTTTCCAATATCTTGTCTTTTATGGACGACCCCTAATTAAAAAAAAAACAACATTGCAATGAAATTTCTAATAAAGAGAATTATTAGTAATTGTAACATGAAAATTGTGTGAAATAAAATGGCTAACGTGTATGTCAATTTTTATTGTTAATGTTAGTTTTTCTAGCAACACTTTCTGTATGTAAATTCCAATTAGGCCAATGTGTTTTGAATGCTAGGGTGTGTTCAGTGGCGTAGCGAGGTTGGGTGTCATCCGGTGCGGCACTTAATGGTGTCACCCCCTCAGAGGCGTAGCGACTCTTTCCAGGGACAAATTTACTAATTTTCGATTTGCACCCCCCCCCCCCTCGAACTTTCAATTTGCAACCCCCTCCCCCCTCAAACTTTCGATTTGCACCCACCTTCCCCCACCCCCTTCAAATTTTTCTTTATATATTTTACTTTTTTTTCCCTTGGTGTCGCCCCCTCTAAATGGTGTCACCCGGTGCGGTTCCCGCCCCTCGCTATGCGTCTGGGTGTGTTTTACTCTCTTGTGATGCACCAAAGTCTGTACCTGCCAGGTGGACTCATTACAAATCAAACATTTTCATTTTAAACATTTAGTTTTACTATTTTTTTAACAATTATAAGTAAAATAAAAATTCAAAAAATGATTGACTTAATTATGTTCATTTCTCAAAAAAAAAATGGTTTGACTATACATTTCTATAGCGAGACTGCACAAAACGTGCTCAATCCAAACTATTACTTTTATAAAAGCTTATAGAGTAAGTTTAAGGGAGCTAAATGTGTATAGAATTAATTTTTTAGAAGTATAAGGTGACGGATAGTATCAAGGGCTTTTTGAAACCTATGACCAAAGTGCCACAAAGTAGGTTTGAGTATTTCTGAGACAGTTTTCGTTATTTCTATTAAAGCTGAGTGATAAAAATGAAACTTTCTAAACCTGAGTATGGAAAAGATTATTCTCTAGTCAGCTTGCCATATATTTGTTTATGTGCATTTCTAATGGTTTGGAAATTGGCATGTAGCTATATGGATGCCGGATGTTACTTTTTTCTATGATGGTATAACATAAGTGTGCTAAAAACAGTGGCGTATCTAGGGTGGAGAAGCATTTTGGGACACTTGCGCCTTTTTCGGGAAATAAAAAATTAATTATATTAAGCAACTATATATCAAGTCGGTGATGAATAACTAAACTAATGAAAATAAAATAGATGTGCCTATCTTGTGTTCAGCGTTTGTCAGAATAATATTATGATCGTACTGAATAATTAACAGATTTTTTGACCGTTTTCACATTTTTTTCACCTCTCTAATTTATCCAGAGGCGTAACGAGGGCGGGGGGAGGGGTGCGGGCCGCACGGGGTGACACCATTTATGGGGGGGGGTTGACACCAACGCAAAAAATTGTAAAATCAACAGACTATAGATAAACTCGTTACTATGAAGTCTGGAGTGATTAAAGCTTATACACATACATGTACACGTATGTGGCATATATTTAAATTATAGGCTTATGTAGGACAACACACACATATATATACTTTGTTTCTTGAAGGGGAGGTGCCACCACAAAGTGCCGCCCCGGGTGACACACGACCTAGGGACGCTACTAAATTTATCATATACGGAACATAAAGGATAACTGTAATCATGCAAACAAGTCGAATTAGAAATTTTGACTAACATCAAAGTATATTTCGCGAGAGTCCGCTAGATATTAAGATGACTTTTGCTTCTTTAGTGGCCCGCAGTTCATTGTGATTCTAAAATGTAAAATATATGTTTGTTGTATTGGTAAAACTTATTCTGTACTAGTCTGTATTCTACAAATAGTTAAAAAGAATATAATAACAATAATTTTGGATTTATGTAGGCCTACGTTTACTCCTTTTTGTTTTATAAAAATGTGATATTACACTTCAGTGTTTTACAATAGGCTTTAGGAAAATTAGTTGAGACCATCCCAATTTTGGTACTGATTGACAGAAGCATATCGGCGCTTTTGGTCCCTTTTAATTTTAAGGTTCTTTCTCAGATTAATTAATAAATGACGTCATTTAAGGGTGAGGGTATGGCCTTTTGTGAGTCGTCAAAAAAGCATGACGTCATTTATGGATGTCCCTTAAATCAGAAAGCTTTCCCCCGCGTGAGCTGGGCACATACAGCTGTACATGCGAACATTGTGTGATGTCTTTTATGCATTACTACACCCTTCATGCTATCGCAATGAAAATTGGGAAGTTTTTGAGTACACTCCCGCAAAGGTTTAACATTAATTGTTTAAGCATATTGAAGTGACGACTTCCTACAAAAATGTGCTGTGGAGCGTCCCGAGATCCCCAGTGGCTATCTTAGCATCAGGTGTCCGCTAATTGAGTGTCCTGTACTACTTGAATCACCAGTCTCGTTGCATTAAGGGTCTCCGCCGGGGGACGTATCACAAGAGAGCCACGACCCCAGAGGTTCAATAAGTGAGTCTCAGGGCTTCGTCGGAGGTAAACACTCACGCCTGACTCACATGAAATACGATCGGTTTTTGTCAGTGTGAACAATGGAGCTATTAAGAAAGGTTTCAGTGAACTGCTTTAGTAGCAGAGTTTCTTCCAGGCATCGCTTCCGCCCCCCCTCCGGAAATTGGTTGTTATGATAGATTATAAATATCTATCATGGTGTCTCCACCTCTCCCCCCTTCTTGCTACCCCACAGGTAACGGTACACACCTGGACCCGAGTCCAGCGGTATTGTAAGGCTGACCGGGCCTCGACCTCAGACTGCGGTCACGAGGGCGGAGCCTAAGTCATGTGACCTGTAGGGTAGGGACGCTACAGTCCGGTCACTCTACCTTCTCCCCTCTTCGGAGGTACACGTTTATTTTGGTGCTTAGGCACTAGCCATTATTACACTATAATTATTTTGGTGCTACGGCACTTGTTCTCCTCGGAGAAATTAAACGTACGTTTGGCAACGTGTGTAGAGGATTGTGTGGCTTCTTTGGAAGGTAATTAACATTTACTTTTATTAGCTGTAATGTTATAATACTAATTAATAAGTATAAAATGAATATAAAACAATGCATGAATGAAAAGCATATTTTCTAGTAATGTTTATTGTAGGCCTTATGTAAGGTGAATGTAAATGTATTATCTTGGTAACAATTGTAAACTTGTATGTGTCTGAATGAATGTGCATATCACACAGATGTTAGGAAGTTTATCACATGTATTTTACAGCCGGCCAGCTTGGGGCTAAACTTAGTACAGAGGTCTGTGTGTGAGGAAGTGTGACCACGCCGCCCTGAAGACCAGTCGCCCCTTCCAGGCTACTTTAAATTGTATCGTTATTACTATGCCAATAATTAATGTATTTATAAAAGTTAAAGGATTGGAAACTGATTTAATTACTCCATCATAATTTTAACCCTTTTCACTGAGCCAAATATCGGCAATCAGTCATTAATAATAACACAACATTAATAAACGCAATATTAACATTAAGGGACCTCTTGTCCAACGAGACAAACCCTAGACTAAACAGGTCATTCTGTAGCTGCGGCTATATTTATTTATGTGCGGTATGACTCGCTAGAGCATATTTGCCACATTGGGGGCTCGTATCAAAGCTAGTTTTTTTTTAATATATATAAATACTGGTACATTTTTATCATATATATATAATTATATATATAAAGGTAGAATTTAATTTTAATTTAATTTTGTTACTTTTTATGCCACAATTAGAATACAATTGTACATCCTTTACTAGTAATTACTTATAGTTTTCAGATTGTTAAAGTCAAAGTTAGACCTAGCTCTACCCACCCTTGATACCACCCAGCTAACTTCCCAGGGTGACTCAGAGCGACCACTGCAGTTTCGGTAAGTGTCTCTTGTTCAGGCAAGTTCAGATACTGTCAGTGCTCTACATTAATTATTTTTTTTAAATACAGCTAACACTAGTTGGGTACCCTGACCAGTGACCACCCTACTATCCCCCCTGTACAAAGGTATCCTACTCTTGACCTAAAGTTGACCGGACGCCATGGCATCCTACCAGGCTGCGCAGCGGTCACAGCTAGAGATAAAGCGGGAGGGGGAGGCGTTAGGTTACGCGGGGACAAAGCTTTTAAAATGGGTCAGGGATGAGGTGGACGCCGAACGGGCTAGGGTAGACAGGGAACGAGAATTTAAGCAAGCAGAGTGGGCTAGGGTAGACAAGGAACGAGAATTTAAGCAAGCAGAGTGGGCTAGAGACAAGGAAAAAGAGGAGCGTCAAATTCAGCTGTTAGAGTTGGAAATTAAACGAATAGAGTTAGCGAATCGTAGCAACGAGTATGTGGGGAAGGGGGAGGAGCAAATAGGTGTCGGATCATCGAAGGTAACACTACCAAAGTTTGATGGGGTGGCCGATCACCTAGACTTTTTTCTCCTTCGTTTTGAAGAAGAGGCTAGGCAAAACAGATGGAGACAAGACTGCTGGAGTAATGAGCTCCGCAAATTAATGCCGGCAGAACTATTGCCAGTGTGCTTTATGGGACACAGAGCGGAAGCAAAAGCTTCCTACGAGGAGGTAAAAACTGCTCTATGTCGTCACTTTCATCTGACAGCACAGGGATATAGGCAAAAGTTTTACACCATATCACCTGATGCTAATGAGTCTATTGTTGCTTATAGCAACAGAGCAAAACATTACCTTACTCGGTGGGTAGACTTGTCAAAAATCGACAAGTCATTTGAAGCCCTCCGTGATTTGATGGTGGTAGATAAACTACTACACACTGTCAACGAGGACGTGGTCAATTTCATCACTGAGAGAAATGACCTAAGTCTGGACTCGGTATTAACCCAAGCCGACAATTACATGATAGCGCATCCAGATAAAAACCTGGCACGTAAAAAGCATATAACTAAACCAATAGCACACATAGGCCTTGATGACAAAGTTAACAATCAGCCCAAGTCGTGCGCCTTCTGTTTTAAAAGGGGACACAACACGGACGATTGTTTCCACCTAAAGCGTTACACGAGTGAGAATGCCGGGTCACGGAGCGAGGGTCACACTGACCGCCAGCCATACTCGGGTCCGGTCAGAAATAACGCCTACCCCGCAGCTGCTGTCAGCAGGGGAAGGGGAGGCTATGGTAGCGCAGCGGTGGGCCAGGTTAGCACTGGCAACCCTTTTGTTAGCCATCAGGCAGAAGAACAGTTATTGGCAATGTCGGGCAAAGGTACAATAGGTGACAGAAAGCATTTTGATCAAAGAAGGGATCCTCAGTTAGGTCTTGCATGTTTCGATGG